TTATTATTTATTGCTATTGCTATTATTGCATGGACAGACTGGGATGAGGGCATGGCTTTAACTGGTGGATTTCAGCCTGCCATGGTGCTATTAAAGGACCTTTGGGAGAAAGACTCAGGATAATACTGCTGTGGTTTTTAGGTGGTCCTACAGATTCATAAAGACTTGGGAGCAAGCAGTTTGGAGAAAAAAAAAGAAATCAAGAGAATATGATGTGATATTTTCATCATCAGGAGGCATTAGGGTTGCTAAAGGGGACCGTAGTAAACCACAGTTGGTAACAAGGGCAGGTGTGGAATGAGCCTTTGCAGTATCTGCAGATGGATTTGAAGCTTAGATTGTTCATCTTTTTTTAGAAAAACAATATTTGGGTTATATCCAACCTTTCTGATGGATCTGGGACCCACAGCAGCTCACTATATGAATTAACAAAACTGATGAGTGAAGTTGCAATTCTGAAACCCAGCTGAGAGAGCTACGGTATTAAGATGAATTTGAAAAGCAAATAAAACAAAGGCTAATGAAAAAGTGCAGCACCCACCCAGAACATGTTTATAGGTCTTAGGCATTTGTTGTTGTTTAGTCGTTAAGTCGTGTCCGACTCTTTGTGACCCCATGGACCAGAGCACGCCAGGCCCTCCTGTCCTCCACTGTCTCCTGGAGTTTGGTCAAATTCATGTTGGTCGCTTCGATGATACTGTCCCTCGATGATACTTAGGCATTTAGCCTAATCTAACTCCCTGAAGTTAGATTAGGCTAAATGTCTAAGTATTCCAGCCTGTCCACACTGGCATATAGTTATGATGTATGGCTCCAGGATAGCTCTATTTGGCATGGAGAAATGAAATGTTGTCTGCTTATGTTTCTACTCTAAACGATCCATCCTTCAAGCTGTCCCATATCTTTCTGGCACACGGCTAGGGCATGCAGTCTTTTTGGCATGATTCATGAAGATGCAGAATCACTCTTTGTACTACAGGTGCCAAGAATTAAAATAGATTGGACTGGAGATAAAGACCAGCTTTTAAGTACCAGCCAGATCACACCAAATTTCACAGTGTGAACATGCCTTAATCTACTTTAATTTAATTTTGCATCTGCTTGAAAGCTTTTACACTTCTCGCCCCCCCCCCGCAGCCTCTGTGGGACTGACAGAAGAGCAGAAGGAGTTCCAAAAAGTGGCCTTTGACTTTGCTGCCAAAGAGATGGCCCCACACATGGCAGAGTGGGATGAAAAGGTGAGTAGCATCTGGCTGTTAAGTAATGTTTACTGCAATTGTTGTCCGCTGTTATTGCTTGTGTCCACCTCCGTTCCGTGTTTCCTTGTTAGTCAAAAACATTAAACATGTTTTTTCTGGGCTACTTGGTGGTAAGTTCTTTCACTTATAGTGTGCAATATTCAATCGCCAAATTGCAAGTACAGTAGGTTGAAGTTTTGGTTATAGGTAGGAGTAGCCCATGAAGGGGTATGTATGAGACACCCTCCCAAAGGAGGACGGGATCCCCCATCTGGGTGTGAGCCACTTGTGGGTATACGGACCTCTTTCAGCAGGTGAGATATTCAATTTTTGGAGCCTACAGCTTCCAGAAACCCAAGACGATCATAGCTAGTGACCATGGAAGTTGCCTTTTCCCCTATTAACCTCTTCAGGCTCTGCAGATAATTACAGTTTACTTCCTTGCAGGAAAATTAATAATTCATTTTATTAAAAGATCTTCAGCTGAGTCAGTTTACTTGTCTGCCAAAAACATGCTAGAATTTTTTTTTTAAAAAAAAGCTTTGTGTGGAAGAGGTCCAAAGTCCAACATGTAATTCTTCCTGAGACTTTGAAGAGTCCACTGCTGTCGGTCAGTGTAAGCAGTATTGGACTATATGGGCCAGTGATCTGATTGTGTAAAAGGCAGCTTGCTAGAATTTTTGTCCATAAATGCTTAAGAGAAAGCTGTTTTCTGTCCTTTGCCAATGATAGGAGTACAGGGTACATATATAGAACAGCACATTTTCTTTGTGGGGCTCTCTGGCTGTGAAATATTTCCCCAAAGGAGGTGTGATCTGTACTGACTCTATTTGTTCCAGGGTTTGCTTAACAGTTTGTTTGTTTTTAATTTGTCCATGCATTTTAAGTTAGTGCTTTTCAACGTGTCTGTATTGTTTCAGTAGTTATTTTATGATATATATATATCTGTATACTGTATTCCACGTGAATAAAAAAAAAGGTTCATACATTTTTGAAAGACAGTGAACCAACCAATTATTTTGCCGTTGCTTCTCGAGTGTATTTAAAATACTGAGGAATAAGAACAGAAAGCTTGGTTCCTAATGGTATTCTTGACTCAAGTGGCCCCCCTGAATTAAACTTCTGAATGTTGAGTCAACACTTATGTAAATCCTATTGACTCATGGGACTCCTCTAATTGAGCGTGCCAATAGAATTCAGGATGAGAAGGAAAAAAAATGCAGACTTTTCAATTAGTATCCATTATGATGCTGGAGGTGATCCCATCTCCTTTTCTTTCCCATCAACAGGAGATCTTCCCGGTGGATACTATGCGGAAAGCAGCTCAGCTGGGATTTGGTGGGATCTACGTGAGACCAGAGGTGGGAGGCTCTGGCTTGTCCCGGCTCGACACTTCCATCATCTTTGAGGCCTTGTCCACAGGATGCGTCAGTACGACAGCTTACATCAGCATCCACAAGTGGGTATCAGGTTCGAGTTCAGGGCGTCAGAGCTGGAGTCTCCGTGTGGTGATCCGTCTCCTTGCTCTTTCTGCAGCATGTGTGCCTGGATGATCGACACCTTTGGGACGGAAGAGCTGAGGCGCCGGTTTTGCCCGCCGCTTTGCAGCATGGAGAAGTTAGCCTCGTACTGCCTGACTGAGCCAGGTGAGAATTAGCGGGGGGCGGGGGGAGGCAGGGGGACTCGCACACCCCATATGAGCAGAACACTCGCAAATCTCCCCATCCAGCTTGGCTTGCTTCTTCAATCCAGGGTGGAATTTGAGACAAGAGTCTGAGGCCGGAAGAAAAGACATCTCTGTTGAAATATCTTGGATGCTCTTACTGACACATTATGAGCAAGGCTGCCTCTAACCTGTGCGTGCATGCGCTTGCCCAGAGCTCTATCGGGGTTGCGCATGGGCAGCTGGTTTGCTTACTTCCCCTTCCAAATGAAGCCCTGCCCGCCCCTGCGCAGACGGAGCGAAGCTCCTGCACCGTGGGAGAGAAACTTAGAAGGAACATTGGTTCTGAGGGAGGCACATCCTTGGCCTGCCTCACAGGGTTGCTGTGAGGACAAAAGGGAATGGAGATGAGGTTACTCCGAGGTCTTTTGAGAAGCGGCAGAAAGAGCCGCGAGAACACGAACTCTTGTTATTAATTTGCAAGGGCTATTATTTTATTGCTCTTGGTTTTATCGCTGTTTGTGTCCTCAAACACTGCTATTGTGCTTCAAAGGGCTTGAAGCTGCTTCCTGCGCCTTTTCTAGCTGTAGTCCTCACTTCAAGCCTTTACAGTCTACGTTCATGGTGTTACCCCCATTTTGCAGACTGGGGAAGTGAGGCCAAGCGAGGGGTTTGCTTAAGACCATCAAATGCACGATGGCAGCAGCTGGGTTTGAACCGGGAACCTCCTGATCGGTAGCTCGGCCTCTTTCGCAGCCATATTTGATAACAGAGCAGGGGAAATAACGGCCTGCTGAAAATGGGGTGACGGCCCATCTCAACTTTGTGACGAGGCCCCAGAGAACGTTTTGAGTGGGTCCAAGAAAGGCAGCCAAGATTTCTGCCTACAATTCCTGAGACGAATGTGGAGCGCTCGTCGGGAATTCCGTTCAGAGCAGCAAGAACAATGCATGTCGCGGAACATGTATTGCTGTTTCCAATGCCTTTTAATGATAATTCTCCTTCCCTTCCCCAAACAGGCAGCGGTAGCGATGCTGCTTCCTTGCTGACTTCAGCCAAGAGGAAGGGTGATGCTTACATCCTTAATGGTTCCAAGGTACCAGCTTTCCTCTTCTTGAAACCAGGCTTGAACCCTCTCCCCGGGGAAAGTGTGTCACGTGTCAGGTTTCTGCCTTCTTGGGTTTGAATCATCTCTCCGTAGCAAAACCAACCAAGAGCCCGGTGGCACCCTGAAGCTGGATATGTTTTATGCAGCATGAGCTTTTGCAGCTCATCTCCGACTCCTCCAGCGGCTGTCTAAAGCGGCCAGCAAGCCGCAAAAGCTTAAGCCAAATGGAACGGCTTTGTCCATCAGGTGCCGTAAGATCCTTGGTTGGCTTTGGTGCGACCAACTATGCAAACGAGGCCTCTGGAATGTTCCCCTCTCTGTCCTCCCTGACCCAGGCCTTCATCAGCGGCGGTGGCGATGCTGACGTCTACGTCGCGATGGTTCGCACCGGAGGGCCGGGCCCGAAAGGAATTTCCTGCTTGGTGCTGGAGAAAGGGACTCCCGGATTGAGTTTTGGCAAAAAGGAGAAGAAGGTGAGTCCTTGGACGTGTAAAGTTCTTACGCCTGGGGGCCATCAAAAGAAGCTAGTCCTGCGTTGCGGGACATACTGCAGCAAAGTCATTACTTCCCACTGGGCTAGGGTTGTGAAGAATATTCACTGAATTCTTGGTGCTCCTTGATTGAGAATGTCTCAGTTTGACAAGACACTTTGATGAGGAAATTTCAAGCCCCACAAGATGGCATGCCTCCAGGCAAGACAGGAAATGCTATTTTTTCCCAGGTTTCCAAAACGGAAACAACTGATGATGATGACGATAGTAAGAGTACTAATGATAATAATTATCTTAGCACTGCAGGGCCAGAAGAGAGCCTATGGGTGATTAAGTCCAGCAGCTGTCAAGGACGCACAACGGGGGATTCGAACTCCCCACCTCTGGCTCCTCTGGTTTAGCGCACAAAACTAGTGTTCTTTCAAAAACAAAGCATGTGCTCAGCAAGCACGGGACAAAAGATGGATTGTTTAAAAAGCAGCCGACTGTCTCTCAAAAGCTTCTTCTCCTTAAAAGTCCCTACAATAAAAGCAGCAATAAAACCTTGTCATCTTGTTAGCTCCAGGAACTGCTGGGTAGCTCAGTGGCTTAGGTCTCTGGCTGTGGAGCCGGAGGTTGGGAGTTCGATTCCCCCACTGTCCCTTTTTGGCAGAGGTTGGATTCGGTGATCCAGAGGGTGCCTTCCTGCCTTGCAGTTCAAAGGTTACATTGTCCAGTTTTGTGTTCCATCCCTATTTGCCAGATCCGCTTAATCTGCCTCCCTGAAAACTACTCTTGCTATCCTCTTGAAGGGAGAGGACACTAATTTTGTGGATTCTCATCCCTCGTATTTGACTCAGAGACAAGCCAGGATTTGCATCTTCTTTTCTTCTTCTTCCGGCCTCTGATGAGAAATGGAGAACAGAAGGTTTTCTCTTTCTCCTCCAGGTGGGTTGGAACTCCCAGCCGACCCGGGCCGTGATCTTTGAGGACTGTGCCGTTCCGGTGGCCAACCGGCTGGGAGAAGAAGGCCAAGGATTCAACATTGCCATGAAGGGCTTGAATGGAGGGAGAATTAATATTGGTAAAGTACTCCAAATTGAGGGATGGACCACCCCAGGGAGGGAGGGGAGGCAGGAGCCTTTTAGGGCATCCTACGAAATTCCCTCTCTTTCCTCTCTAGCTTCCTGCTCTCTGGGGGCTGCCCACGCCTCGGTCCTTCTGGCACGGGATCACCTTAACGTCCGCAAACAGTTTGGGGAGCTCTTGGCCAACAACCAGGTGACTTCTATCTTCCTCTATCGTGAGTCACATTTCTGTTGTTGTTACCTGCCCTCGAGCCACATGGGATTTATGGCAACCCTAAAAGGGGCTTTGAGGTATGTGAGGTATTGAAGGAGAGGCTTTGATCACTGCAACCTTCCCGCGAGTTCCTGTGATCAAGCAGAACCCAGCTCTTCCGAGTCCTAGTTGACTTCTCTGCCCATAGCACCCTGTGGGTTCTCACACTTTTATCCCGATGTTTTTATCCAAAGGGCTCAAAGCCAGCGATTTAATGGAAGGAAGGCTTGTTGGACTGAAGTCTCGAGACCTTCTGAGTTCCAGGGACAATGATATGATATGCCACCACCTCCCTCAGGCTACCAAGTTCCCCTTGAGCAATCGACAATCCTCTGAGAGGCTGGGATAAGAATGGATTTTCCCAGGAACAGTATACTGCTGCAAACTCCCCCCTTGGATTGCAATGTACATATTTGAATGTGGTTCTGTCTTGAACAGGCAGTGAGGAGCTATTAAAGTTATAAGAGACCTACTCCTCAATCATTGTGGTGCTCCGGTCCAGCGGTCTGCATTTTTGCACTCTTTATGTGACTAAATAGCTATTGGGATTGCTATGATGAGCAGCGGTGTTTCCAGATTTACCACTCTAGTGCTGCTCAAGGCAGCATACCTGACGTTCCTCCTTGCAACGGCCCTGAGAGAAGGTGACCCAAGGTCACTCCGTGTCTTTTTCAGTGACCCTAAGATAGTCATTACTGTAGGTGACACACTTCATAGGATCCTGAACCTAGATTCCCCTGATCCTGTCCAGCCCTCTGCAGCGACACATTGCTGGCCTTATTCTGTTCCTGAGGCTGGACCTTCTGGTTAGTCATGGGCTGGTTGCCCTAATCCTTCTCATCCTTCTCCCGAGTGCAGCTCTGTTGGAAACATTGGGTGCTTTTCTCTCCTGTCTTGAAACACGGCCGGCCGATCAAAGTAAAAGCTAGGGCATGTGTTTGTGACACACCCAGACACAGCCTGGAAGGAGTGAGTTTATTAGATATAGGTAAAGGTAAAGGTTCCCCTTGACATTTAGTCCAGTCATGTCCGACTCTAGGGGACGGTGCTCATCCCCATTTCCAAGCCGTAGAGCCAGCGTTTGTCCGAAGACAATCTTCCGTGGTCATGTGGCCAGTGCAGCTAGACACGGAATGCCATTATCTTCCCACCGAGGTGGTCCCTATTTATCTACTCGCATTTACATGCTTTCAAACTTCTCTGTTGTTAGAGAAAGGATGCCATCCTGAAACAAAGACGGTGGGGATTGAATGAACGGTATCTTTCTTTGACAGTACCTCCAGTTCCGTCTGGCGGAGATGGCAACAAGCCTGGTGGCGGCGCGGCTCATGGTGCGGAATGCGGCGCGGGCGCTGCAGGAGGGGCGCGAAGATGCTGTGGCGCTCTGCTCCATGGCTAAGCTCTTTGCCACAGATGAGTGTTTCACGGTAGGTGAAGTTTTTTATCTGTGCAACGACCAGAGCTGTAGACATAATGATAAGACCGTATACAGAGGGTCGCATCACACATTCAGTGAAATGTCTATTTCCTCCTGCTGGTGTAAATGTTTTCCTTCCAGAAACGCAGTTCCTTCAAATCTCCATGCTGCAGAAGCCCTTACTAACCTCTGTGTCCTGTCATTAAAAAAGTATAACATGCAGAATGAAACAAGCTCTATTATCTCTTAACGAGCTCCACTTCTAACAATATAAACTGTATCATCCAGTTTGAACCCAAGTAAGAGAAATAATTCTGCTGCAGGACACAACCTCTGTCCACGAGGACTGCATGCCACTGCTCACCGAGCTGCTCCATCAGTCTTCAGGTGGGGTAAAGAACTGCAAGATCTCAATAACTGGAAAGAATTAGTAAACTCGTGTAGCCACAAGATGGCAGTACTACATCTAACTGTAACTGTGTGTGTCTTAATTATGGGCTGCTGAGAAAAAGTGTCTCTAAATTGTTCATACAGGATAGAGTAATTTTTTTTTAATGCTGGAGAATAAGTAGTGCTAAGTTTTGAAGGGCTTCAAAGAAAGCTTTTTTTTAAGAATTTTTTTTCCCCAGACAGTGTTTCCAACCTAGGATTTATCTTCTCTGTTCTGCTCGAATCCCAAACTTGTGTCTATTGGTTTCTCTCTCCTAAGGCCTGATCCTAATATATTTTCTCCTACACAGATCTGCAACCAGGCTCTGCAAATGCATGGGGGCTACGGCTACTTGAAGGATTATGCCGTGCAACAGTTTGTACGGGACATCAGAGTGCACCAGATTCTGGAAGGTAAATCTGGAACATTGCATGCAAACAGGGTATTCCCAAGATGATGCCAACAATGTTTGGTGGGTCCCAGCAACCTCACCCATTCCAGTCCTGTCCTCCTTTATTGCGCTGAGAGCTTGGGGCAACGTGCTGATGGAGGCACATGATGATGTAATTGTTCAATGGATCCACTTGGCTCTTAACGATGCAATGGCTCTTGATGGTCTATGAACTTTTGTTTCCTGATTCATCAGTTGATAGGAATATGTGACCTGGTGCTTGGGAGACCAGAATTGATAGTCACTTTAAATTTTGTGTTATCAGCTGGCACCGTACTGCATTTTGGGTCTTTAAATGCTTTCAGACTTTGCTCCCAGGAGGACAACAAAGAATGACTTGGCTGGCTCTTCTCAACAGGAAGAGAAAGCAACCTGAGATTCTCAGTGCAATGGCATTCTTCAGTTACACATCCCAGTCCACATGGAGCCCTTATTTGCTTCCAGACTCATCTCTGTCTTTTGGTCTTCTCTGTCCATAGGTACCAACGAAGTGATGAGGATGATCGTGGCCAGAAATCTGTTAGAGGCATAATGTCAGGAGCTCAGCTTTAGACTAGAGATGGGGACAAATTAAAAAAAAAATGGTGATCCATTTTGATTCATGATCCGTCAAGGTTAACGGATCAAGGGATACAAATATACGAAGATTCTTCAACGAATCGATCCGTCTTTGCTTTAAACGGCTATAAAACTGGACCCCAACAACCTAGAGACACTGAATTTGCAGGCAAGCTTCCACAAGACACTTTTCTACAACTCCTGAAAGTTGCTGAATTTGCAGGCAAGCTTCCACATACTTCCACACTTTTCTACAACTCCTGAAAGTTTGGTGAACATTGGCTCACGGACCCCTGAGTTATATACTCACAAAGAGGACCCCACCAGGAAAGCTCCCCCCAGATACTTAGAAACTCCAGAATCACAACAGAGCTTTCTATGTCTTTCCCCAACATGCCTGCCAACTTTGTTGAAGATTGAATGTCAGACCTCCGAGTTATTCACCCACATATTGGGTCCCCCCAGGAGAGTTTACCACACGCCACAGAAGCCCATTCTGCCTACCGCCGCCGATCAGCTAAATTGGAAACTGAGTAAATATTCATCCCTTCATATTCGTGGGGGTCTCTGGAACCCACAAATATGGATCGATGGATATTTAACAAATCGGCTATATTTGTCGGAAAAACCGATCCGTTTTTATATCCGTCCCCATCTCTACTTTAGACCCAATGCACCCCGGCAGCTACTCCTTGCTGTGGCCACCATGAACTGGAAGCGAGAGATGAGCCCGTCGTAAGGCTAGCCTTCGGTTCCTCCATTCTGCTGGTAGACACAGCTCAAGCCATCCTGTGTTTCTGAGCTGAACAGCACCTGGATTGTTACCACTTGGCAGGACTTGGAAGGTCTAAATGGAACCACCTTTGTTCGAGACTGCAAGCAAGGGGTCATCTGCTCTGACGTCCTGATACTTTTCCAAAGGTACACCGCGCTGGCTGGATTCATCCCAACTGTATCTCTTCCTGCATCATAAGGTAGCTTGAGGACTGGCGGCTGATGGATTTTAATATCTGACTTTTCTGGGAGGGGGGATGCATTCTTGATTTAGAAAGAAATAATCTCCTTGTTTACTCTGCACTGCGGAGAGATGATACGTCTCCCTTGAAGGACACGTGAAAACTACGATGGCCTTTTAAGCTCTTTTTTTCTTGAGGATGTATCTTCTCCTTTCAGGTCAAATGACAAGACGAGGTATGTCCGTGTAGGGGTCTGTGTGTATCTCACGAAAATCTCATACTCAGTGCCACTGATGGTCTGCCCATTCTCCCTCCTCCTCCTCTGATTCCATCAGTTCTTCTGAATCACAACAGAAAATGCTTTTAATACACAACAGATTCACGAACTGGCAATTTCCAGCAATTCAATGATACAGTGGTGCCTCACAAGACGATGTTAATTCGTTCCGTGAAAATTGCTGTTAAGCGAAAACATCGTCTTGCGAAACACGTTTTCCCATTGAAATGCATTGAAAACCTGATAATCTGTTCCAATGGGAACGGATTGTCATCGTAAAAGCAAAAATTGCCATAGGAAACATCGTTAAGCGAAACGCGGTTCCCAAGCGAAGACAGCCGTCTAACGAAACAGAGACCATTAAAAGACTCATATAGCGAAGTAAGACCAAGCTGTCAAAAACATCGTAAAGCGAAAATTGCCCATAGGAAACATTGTTAAATGAAGTGCAAGACCGCTCCGAAAACCTCATCGTAAAGCGAATTTGTCGTTATGTGAAGCAATCATCTTGCGAGGCACCACTGTAGAAGGATTTCGGAGGGGCTGATCCTAGGTCACTTATTTTTTCTTCTCAATGCTGAAATTAATAAATGGTGATAGTTTTTGTCTCCTTTTTTCTCTTGCAGCCTGTCTTCCATTTCTTTCTCGCTCTCTCTTTTTCCCCCCTAAGTTTTGGGACAATGACCCTTTCTGGACTAAAGAGACAACCACCTTCATTCTAGATATGGGCAGCCTTGTCTTCAAAACACGAGCACAGCTCGCAAACTACAGTAGACCTTGTACAGAACTCAAAGCTTGAAGCTCCATGGAGTTGAGTCAGAATTCCCTCTAGGGTGCTTTTTGAAACCCGATCCTGCAGGTATGGGTTGATCTTTTGCCTCCAGATGGCCCTGAAAACACAGAGCCAGTCTGACAAGTTACCAGGACTGCTAATATCAAACATTCTTAAGAAAATCAAAGGGAGGCAACAGGGTGGTTCTTATTTTCTCCGTCTCTCAATGGAGGTCCTCCATCTGTGCCATCAGGACTGTCTGCATGCCAGAATCACGAAATGGGTCCAGATAATCCATTTTCATCCAATAACACTTGGGATTAGAGCTCCTCCATGCTCTTGAGCACCTTGACCAAAAAGGAAATACTAATAACCATTGCAACCTTCCAGATCTAGGGAAAGTTTCTTAAAAGAGGTGTTGCAGCCAGTTCTGGCGTAGCAGCTGAAGCAGGTCCTTCTCTCAGTGACGCTTTAAAGAACCTCCTGAAGAAACCCAACGAGTCCCCTTCAGATCAACATCATAAACATTTCCCTTCTTTCGGACTTCCTGTTTGGAGTTTGACCTCGGCCGATCCACTTGCAAACAAATCTCTTGTTACAGGAGCGCAGCGGATGAGTTCTGTGGAAGACTTAAGGTAATTACAAAATTATTTAAAAGATCCATTCGCTGCGGCCCTCCCTCTTTGGGGCCGAAAACAAGCAGAAGCTAATTGCAAACAGCCTGCAAGGGCAGCGATAAAGGCAGCAATCAAGTGAAAATGTATGAAGGAGGGGGAAAAAGAACAAGAAAAACTAGGTTCAAATCAGATCGCTTTATGGCCACCCTGCAAATTTATTGCCTCTAAAAAGCCCCCAGCCCTGCTCAGGTCTTGCAAACTCTGGGACTTCCTTTATGGAGTCAATTCATCTCGTGTTCCTCTTTTCATGCTCCCTTCAAGTTTCCCAGCATTCTTCTCTTTTCCAGGGAATTTCTGTGGCGCTGACGGCGGTAGACAGAACAGTTTGCTTAATCCGGGAAAATTAAGTACTGTATTACAGAGTCACATCAGGATAGAGTCAGGGGATGACATAATCTGAATGCTCCTTTGCACGTGGGGACGAAAAGGACTGTATGTAGAAATCTAGTGTGTTGAGCCCAAAGGATCCTAAGCCTGCACGAGATGCTAGGCTTTGCTGTTTGGAGGTGGGGCTCCTCTGAGCTTGCCTTGAGCTGGAGCCCCTCGGAGGCAATCAGGAAACTCTTGCCTCCCTAAATAGCAGGACTGATGAGGATGAAGAGGGTGCCTCTGAGCATGTGCAGAGGATTTGTGCATGGAGGGCAGGGGGGCGCCTGTTCTGCAGCAGAGCCAGTTCTCCTGAGCTTTCTGCATGGAGGACAGGGGGGTTGCCTGTTCTGCAGCAGAGCCAGTTCTCCTGGCTGGGCAGAGAGCCTTCGGGACCTCCAGCCCAAGGGAGAGTCAGCAGCCTGGAGTCTTTCAAGCATGTGCAAAGTGCACTTCACCCCAAAGGGGAGACGGTTCTAAAATGCTTTTAATACACAACAGAGTCTTTTAAGCATGTGCAAAGTGCACTTCACCCCAAAGGGGAGTTGGTTCTGCCAGGCGTCCTGGGCGTTGGAGCATGCGCAGAGTGTTGTGTCCCCCCCCCCTCAGCAAATGGGTCCTGCCAAGCAAGGCTCCCTTGCTCCTGAGCCTGTGCAGAGAGAGAGCGCTGAGCGGGAGCACGAGGGAGGCTCCTGTCGCGAAGCACGATTGACCGGCGAAGCGGCCCAATCAGAAGCCAAAGGCGAGTCCCGCCTCCTCCTCCTCCCGAAAGCCTCCACCCAGCTCGCCCGTAGCTGTTCCCGCCCCCTTGGCGCGCTGCCCCGGCAACAGCCAATGGCGCCGCAGCACGGGGCCCGCCTTCCTCCAATGGGAGGAGCCCCTGTGTCGGCAATGGGACGCCAATGGTGGCGGCCGAGGGAGAGCTAGGCAACGGGGCCGCTCCCGGGCCGGCCTTCCTTCCCGCCATGTGGAGCTGCGGGGGGCGCCGGAGGC